GGTGGGTGGGGAGGACTTATCTGTAATACGGAGAACTAGAACAATCTCATAAGATATAGATTTCTTACGCTCTCTCTCAACTCCTCGAACTGATACAAAATTGTTATTACCTTTTTCAATGAATGTGTCCATAGAAGCATTTCGAAAATATTTACCCACATAATTGTCCAAAAAATGCTATTAATCTATGCATTAAGCTGAATTTTCTGTTTGGTTCTTGACCTGATAATAAGCGATTTTTGTAGCAAAGTTGTTCTTACCAGTCTTCCATCCGTCTTTAACACTAGTGTCCAACCTCCAACGCCGCAACAAGTCGTTGTCCCGTTCAGAACACAATAATGGTGTCCAATGTTTGAAAGCAAGTAAACACCATCATTGCGATAACCCGCTTCGTAGGCTGCTTGGCAACTGGCAAAACCTTGAAAATGCAGAAAGAGGAAACTTGCTTAAGACATCCTATTTGGCTTCATATCAAAAGTACTTGTTTTCTAGAATACACGTGACTGAAAATATCGATGGTTGGTTTTTAGTTGGGTAGAGCTTCTGAATGAAAATGGCTTTGTTACCACAGGCCGGTGATGATATTCAAGTCTGCTGGTTTCAATCTCATAAAAGATGACAGTACAGCTGTGAACCAATGTTTTTGTCAAATTATTGTTTCTTTAGAGCACCTAGTTTTTAAGGCAATTAAAGTTTAATTGCATGTAAAATAGCTGGTGTAAAATTAGTGAATAGAAGTTCAAATTTTTAATATACTAACACGTAAATACACACATATTTTTCAAATTACTGATAATGGAAAGTAGAGCTTCTACGGGGCTTCTACGTTGCTGCATTTTACAGGTACGAGAGTGTCCCTTACTTCTTTCATTTTCGCAATATTTGCCTGTAAACATTTCTTTGCATTGGCACTTGAACCCATCTTCAGTGCATGTATCCACACATTTGCCACCATTTTGGCAAGGAGACAAAAATGCACACCGTGGACCAACCTAGTGACAAGACATTGCAAGTGAAACATTTTATATGAGAACAATCTTTATCGTCATGGACACAGTTTTATAGGGGCGTTAGAAAGCGAGAATTTTGATAGGTAGATGGTCTTTCCTAAGAGTATAGACCACGTTTGCTGTACATTCTAATCAATATAATGTCGAATGAAACCAAAGAAAGAATGAAAGGAGGTTTTTAGAATGATCTTACCATTTATTATCAAACATTATTAATGTATTGCCAAGACCAAAGTTGTCTTACACTTTCTCTTTCCTTACTTACTTATTGTTTTAAAGCCATTTTTAATGGGTTCACATATGATTGCGGACTTACTCAAAGTTATTTCTAACATACCCTAGGCAACAAAGCTTAAGAAATTCATCTCTCTTCCCAATTTTGTAGGCTTTGGTACCCAGATTATTTTCAAGAATACTTACATTAGAAGCTTTTTCATCTGTTGTCATGTACACCCACCCAATTCTTTTGCTGATAGCTGTCATACTTGATGTCAAATTTCGATCAAGCAGCTCGCATTGTCCACCGTCTTCTTTAAAGTTCAGTGATTTACACTCAAGGCTTGACATACACTCGAGTGTGCATTGCCGCTTAGTTTTCCCGGAAAATGTTCTTAACACATTGCCTGTCACTGCCATGTCTTTTAAAACAATGTTAAAGTCTCCATAATACTTGCAGCTCTCTCGCAATATTGTCGCAAGATTACAGCCAACGGAAATTGACAAAATTACCGCCTTGATTGACATGATATATGCCTTTGCTACTGAACTATGCTTCTTCATTTCAGCAGCGTCTTACTTCAATCAAAATTGAAATAGGTTTGTTAAATTTGTTGATGATTTGTAATTTAACCGAACATTCTCACCAGAAAGAATGGTTTACCAAATCTGCAGGTGGTTTTTGTTTCATGGTTATACTAGATTCATTTTCTGATGAAAAGACTGTTTAAGATTTCTATGTATCAATAGGTTTCGAAAAGACTAATTTTTTCAATCAACTCTTTTCGATTAACTACTTTCTCTTTATGTTGAAACATTTTTCAGACGATGCGCTGAACATTATGTCTAATTAAGTCTTGATTAGAGGTAGTTTTAACCTCTCTGATTTTCGATTTTCATGTATCCTCAATCCTCGCTCTGTAGGAGTTCCTCAATCCTCGCTCTTTAGCCCACTTCTTTTTATGTAGCTACACAGCGCTTCTAGGCTCCTGGAATTTACCTTGCATAAAATTTCATATATTGTACCCTTTTAAAACTTATATTTTCTCAAAAAAGTCTTTTTGTTAATTACTGGAAACTCTAGACAGCAGACAAAGAGTTAAATTCTAAATTCAAGTACCATTGCGTTATCCATTGAAATATTTTGAAATCAAATTGAAACCATGTATGCTAGTTAGTGCGTAACATTTGACAAGTGTCTCTTGCTTGAGCATTGTTCTGTGATACTAGTTTAAACTGAACACGTAAATACCCCAAGTCATTGATAGTGACATCCATTACGGCCCGTGTTCATTCAATTAAAGTGCCAGCATTTGTTAAATCGAAAACTTTAACAAATATAAATCCCTTTATTATGAAGAAGTACTTTATCCTTCGAACATGAAGCATTGCCAGAAAGTAATCTACCAATTATAGTAACAAGACAGTGAGCTCATTAGATCCGATAATCTATATTTCCCTACCTGTGAAATGTTTGGACAATTCTATCGTTTACCGTCTGTACACGTAGTTTTTGTTTTTAGAGTTTTACCCCTCCTGAAGAGACATTAATTGATTACGTAATTTATTGACCTCGTTTTGAAACCGCCAATTCGGTTTGTTGAGGGTCAATTCGAGGCAGCTCTAACCACAGGAAGTGAAGCCAGGAGAAATCTCCTTTGCACCTGCACTGCAAGAACGGAGAAGTGCCGTACAAACACTTGTTTGAAACGTGCAATGTTAAGCAAAGAATTCAGGCGAAAATTCTGTATTGAGTGATTAAACTGAAAAATCTGGAACACCCAAGAACTTAATTTATTGGATTTTAAAGAAAATTGGAATTCTGAAAGCATAATTCTGGATATTAACAGTGATGGTACCGACCGATGTTTTGGAGGATCTATAGCGTTTTTGTCGCAGTGCCTAAACATGTTAAACAAAACGAGTTTGTTGATCTGAAAGGGAATACCTAGTTTGTTCTTATTTATGACTTGTCTCTTAAATTTTTTTGGGCTTACCTTCGCAAACAAACAGTCAAATATTTGAAGCCGATATTTTTGACGAGGTGTATCAAGCCATCACCTTGAAACGCATCGGCCATGAAAAAAGAAGGAATCTAGCAAGTACCAAAGAAATAAAATTTAAGAAAAAGTTCATAAATTTTACAGAAAAGTGACAATATTGAAAAACCTAATGGTAAGGATAGGCCTAAACGTAAACAAACCGATGAAGCAAAATCGAACCATACCGTATATCCGTAGAAATACTGAACTTCAAGCGCTGTTAAAAGACTGCCTTTTCTTATGAGTCTGTCAGTTCTTAGATAAAAAATAAATGCACGAAATAACCATCCTAATAGCGAGATGCAATAGAACGCCATACACTGTGAGTCACTTCTTGCCGTGCAGTGCGGAAATCGATAAGCTTCACTGCCTCCCTAGATAAAGATTAAATTGTGCTAAATATTAAACTCGGAGATACAACGGCATTGTTGAAAGAAGGAGATCCAAATTCGGCAGGAATGAATCCAATGATCTAATTGATATTTTCCTTTTTTGTACATATTTTTGTCCTTTAAATTTTCTAAGCCGTCACCAAAGGTTGTACATGTAACTCCCGTTTCACAATAAAATATTGTTTTTGTTGCAAATTTCAGATAAAAACTATCTATCAGAAAAACTATGAGGTAGATTCAGCTTTTGGCAGGTTCAAAGAATATTCACAAGAAAAGTTTATCTTCTAAATGGTTTTAAACTTTTGCAATCGTGAAGCCTTCATAGCTTAGAATCACAAAATAATCATTTCTTCCTTCTACCCGGCTTAATATAAAGTTTGTTAAATTCTTGATTTTTGACGATGCACATTTGCAAAAAAATGTATGGCTAAAGTCTTGGAAAATATAATTTTTTGTAGTTTGAGAAAAATGTAGAATCTATCGTTTGAATGAAAAATAAAAAAATTGCATAAAAAAAGCAATAAAAGGCAAATTGATACCAACTGACAAAAAAACTAACAAACAAAACAAAAAATGATTAATGTATAATGTTGTGCAAATTGGGTGAAAAATCTTTTCTCGTTTTTCTGGAAAAACGGGATTTATATCGAGCGAAAGAAGTTCATCTTAGCTAATTTAACTAGAGTTCTAAAGTGTGACGTCATCAAAAACCTATTTTTAGAATTTTTTGAAGTTTAACCACATAGCGTAAAAGATCACCATGAAATACTTTCAAATACGCAAAATTGGCCAAATATGTCTAAAATCGGTTGAGATATAGCTAATGAAAGATTTGAAGTTTGCTAACGAATCACTGTTATTTTGGCTCTGTTCATAAAGTTATGAACAGAGAACAAAATACAGAGGTTTGATGGGGAGAGAACCAGTTAACATGTGGCCATATCTCTGCCATTTCGTAATACATTGCCTGATTTTGCACATTTAGAGGTATTTCATGATGATCTTTCAGGTTATGGAGTCAAAATTCAAAAATTCTAAAAATAGATTTTTGTGACGTCATCACTTTAGAACTCTATTGGATGAGCTATTGATGGAAAACTATTTCAAGATAATAGGAGAAGTAAAGACAGTACGCAATACTGGTAGGACAATAACAAAAGTTGACGCAAAGTATTTTAGAAAAATGTACTACTCTCGCAATATAATCGCAAGATTACAATCAACGGAAATTTCACCAGATAACACTGATCTAGAAGAATAACTGGATTCCGCATAGCAGCCACCACAGTTGTGACCCACTCTGTCACTGACTCAGATGTAAACATCGCAGGTGTCACAGTTGATATTAGAAGGGAAACTTTGTCGAAGTACTTGGAAAGCCCTTGGAAAGGTTCTACGCTTAAAGGTATTGTTGACTTCTAAGTTTCTTTAATAATTTCTTAACACTTTTAAAGCACGATTGACCGTTTTGTTGTTTACGCTCAGATGTCACTGCTCCGATCATTAACGATTACAATATTATCGCCTTTTAAGACGATGCTGACTTATTCAGAAGCTCTAAAAACACTGAAAAAAAGTAGTTGGAACATAGAATAGGAAACTTTTGACTACCACACTTGACTGTTAGCGTAAATTTGTTAGGTATTTTCGTCATAACATAAGAGGCCTAATTATTTATGGTTCGCAACAGACGATTTAATACATTTAGGGTTACAATAATATATCTACAGGTTGACTGGTGAGTCTTTACATAAACAAGTCTTCGTTCTTTGATTTTAAAAAATAAATTGTAAAATTTCCTTTTCCCACAGTGAACCCCTTTATATATAAATATTAAACAAAGCTATTTGTGGTGGCTGGGTACAACCATACTGAGGTGGCATCATTTGCCATGACCACTGGGATAGAAGGGCTTTCCTCCTCTCCATATGCACAAGAAATAGGCAGGATTTGGTATTTGAATTTTTAACATGTGAGATAGAAGCCATGACTTACTTTGTATATTTCTTTAGCACAGGACCCTAATGATCACAGCATGCTTGATATGACATGCTGATAGTTTACACCTGTATACAAATTGTTGCATTATTATTTATATTACTAGAAATAGCTCTTGCTAGTACTGCCCGCAAACAATTAGTTCCTTGATAATGATTGTTTTGAAAATTTAATTTGAAGAAGACATTCGAAAAGACACCATCTTGGGTTCTCACAATTTTATAAAAACAGCTGCTCTAGTTGATGCTAAACTATTCTTTTTATAAAGAATTTTTGGTGTTCAGTTTGCTTTTGATTTATGTCCAACGCCCTTTTGAAAATCATAAAGTTTTTCGAGGGTTTGACATTTATTTTTCGTTTTCGTGAAGTAAACAAAGACGTATGAAAATGGACACGTGATAGAACGGGTACAGCTAAAATCGATTGCGATAAAGGGTTCGTACAGCGATGTACAGGCGATAATCATGACAATCATAACTTTTGCTCTTACGGTCTCGAGTTTTTGGAAGAAAGGTGTGGCATTCGACTGGTTTTGATTCCCAAAACCTCGAATCAAAACTTTCATCCATTGTGGAGAACCGAGCTGTGATGCAGCACCGTTTTCGTGCCAAAAAACCGAAGGCCTTTAGCGGAGTCTTGGCAGAGCAACGCTCCGAAGATAATTGCCTTCCGCACAAAGAGGTGGCGCTTAACGACCTCCTCGACAAAGCCGATTGATTGACAATGAAATTGATTGACAGTTGTCATGGCAGCAGAAAAGTGACAAAATCTGCTGACAAAGTGCTGACAACAAGAACTGAAGCTTCCATATGCTACTTATACGCGCGGCAGACTATAAGCCCTTCACTCGCGCGCTATCGCGCTCGAGTTGCGGGCAATTATTTTTACTATTATTAAGGAGTATTTCTTTAGAGAGAATGATGCTTAAATAGGCCTTCTCTGTCTTTCAGGGCAAGAAAGGATGATGGTGTATGGCTGCTAGATCCAAGTGCACTATAACATGTCCAACAACAAAGCTTCTTTGCTACCATGTTTTGTTGTATAGTACCTAAAATGATTTGTCAAACCTTTAGGCAACTCTTGTATGAATTTTCAAGTAATAAAAAGTTGGTTTCTAATAAAAGCCACACATCACTAATAAAAAATTTTTTGGAAGTCAGTTTTTGGCTAGGTTAGTGAAAATAATGAAAATGAAACAGGCCTAAAATACCCAAGCTGAAATCACAACTTCCGAGTGAAACGTTCTTGGGAGTTGGCGTTTTATTTTGGATTCTTCATGTGAACTTCCATCGCTATCACTTCTGAATGATTTGGCGTCTATTTTCCGCTTTCTTCTCTTGTTACAACCAAACGCGCAACATTGTGCTCTACGATTCAGGGCCGCCGGACGCAGGTTTGAACAGGGGGGGGGGGCAAAACGAATTAAAGGGGCACGAATATTTTTTATCCGAAACATTAGTATCAAAAATGGTACAATTTGTATGGTAATTTAGATATTTATAAAAATATTGAAACACGCTGGGCATAGTAAGAACTATCTTCACTGAAAGTAGATAGATGGCTATGTACTCCATTTAGGGACCACGCACTCTTGATCATAATTAATTGTATAGCTTGTCAATGACCACGCACTCTTGATCATAATCAATACGCTGTACTTATTTTTTTTGTACAATTCGCTGTACAATTTGCATTATAAGTGGATTTTTCCCCGGGTAAGAAGCAGGCACACACCCTTCTTTCATACTTGTGGCAGGTGCAATATACTCAACAAAAGTTCAGATCTATTGCAACATAGCAACGAATCCAACCCAAAATATGAACTGAATGGAATTTTCAAATTCTTAGTCTCTGTATACTTCAAAGCCTATTGCAGTCCCTCTCCCTTTCAATGCGAAGTTCCAGTCTCTATGATTATCAAAAGCCCATTCGAATAATTATTTTAATTTTCTTACTTTTATATTTAAACAATCAAGCCTCCCTTGGCATTCACTCCTTTCCATCACCACTTGAACACATAAATTTGTTCGCCTCCGTGGAATTTTTTTTGAAAGCTACAAAATTTTATGTTTAAGTCATCTTCACGCAATCGGCTGAAGGTGTGAGCACATCCTTCGCTGCCATAGCAAAATTAGTTTTAGGTTTGTTTTAGTGCAACATTGATTAGGTTTATCTCATCAGTCTTATGAACGAAACAAGTTTTCAATTCTCCTTAGACTTGATACCGGCGGGCTCAGTTAGTTTGTCAAACGTATTACATGTGAGTTCCGAAAAACTCTGAGAAATGGTGGTCTGGAAGCTAGAATTCTTAGGACATAGAATCTTGAAAATAGGGTTGCTTTTTTAATCAGTGAGAGAAAACACAAAAGGGATTTACAGATATGATGTTACAGATAATTTTTTAGATAAACCAATGGCATATTGAAGTACAACAAATTTTGCAGTAGCATCTAGTCTTGTATACTGTTCTAATCCTAGATAAGAAATTTAAGTCTTTGTTTAAGTCTTTGCTAACATGTACACAACGAGGCACAACTTTTTCATTTCTTCATAAAAAGCAAGCAATGTAATGCAGTTATAGTTTTACACCATAAGGGATTTAAAATAAAATTTAGTGAACTCTGCTATTTGATATACCTAGATATAAGTTTAAGAAAAAGAATGGTTCTAACATGAATTGGTATACAAAAATTCCTGCTCAAGCTTGAATATTCACAGTGAAAAGTGTTACACAATTTTGGCAAAGTCAAAAAATAGGGACATTTTACGCAACCAAGAATCAGAGATAGGGGTCCAGTTTCTACTTTCAGGAATACACACAATATACATTGGACCATTTGACTGTGCCTGCCGAGGATTTGTTGCGGACCTTTCAGTGATGCAATTGTTGCTGAAGATATACTAAAGAAATTTTTTCGCAAAACTGGCAGTCTCCTTCACAATTAAGATTGTTCATCGCAGGAGCTTGCACTTTTTGCATCAACACCAAGTTAAAGTTTAAGGAAACAGTGAATGGTCCTCCAACCACGCCCAGATTCAAGTTATTTTACTTAGCTTTTAAAGGCAGAATATCTGGCAGCTGCTGCGCAGTTAGTTCGCTATTATCTTCAATAAGAGACAACAAGACTGAAGATATGGCAATTAGGATTCTGCATTTTCACGGAATATCTATCGTACACAAATTAAACCTTTAGCAAATAGAATTACAAAGCATCTAATTACGGCGATAAAACGTTTTGACTAAAATATTTACAGCCTATTCAAATTTTTGCAAAGTCATTGCTGCTCTTTGAGTTGTGTTTTAGAGTGTTTCTTTCAGATGTGTGTTAACTTGCTTTTTAGAACAATCCAATGACAGTAGCTCACGAATTACATTTGAGAGCTGCGTATTGAAAGTCTTCGTTTGCAAATTCAGTCCTATATTTCGGGAATTGGGGATCTTTACAGAGTCTCGTAGTGTAGATCGAGTGAGAAGATCTCTGTTAGTGTAGTGTATAGTCTGTACATGTCTGTATAATCCTATAGGTTATGACATTCCCATTGAAACAAAAATGATAATTTCATCTTAACTGGGATAGTTGACGCGAGGTCTCTTATTCTGGAATCCTAGAATTGTTAGATAGTGCTATTCTAGGCCAATCAAGAACCCGACAACCTGTTATTGCAGGATGTCATATTGAAATTCAAAGCTCCGTTGGAAACAATATGACAAATATGATTAATTTTTATATTTATGGCTTAGAATAAAAACTGTGTTGCTATGTTAAAAATTAATTGATTCATGATTAAAAAGATTTTCGTCTTTTCTATGATTATTGGCCAATAGACGAATAAAAGAGGCAAGAAACCACAATACCACTATATAACTTTCTTGAATAAAGTCACTCTGGTATCATAGGCGCTATTGACATTAGGAAAATGATGCCATTGGTTACAGGTAATTTGATGAGGGCAGTTATTTATGGAGTCACATCGTAGATAAAATGACAACCGATAGATCGTACCATGATACGTGGATCGTACCGTCAGTTACCCGCGGATCGTCCCGTTACGTCACGGCACGGTTTGACAAACTTGACGATTCGATCGATGGCATCGTCCCACGATCTACGAGTCATTACATGATTGGTACAAACAGTGTAGCTAGATGTTTGTAATTAGGCCCTGTCTGGCTCTCGACGACTCTGAACTTTTGTGGTTATAACTTTAAATGCTTGTTAAAGATTCTTCGCTTTTCAGTTTTGAAAAACATTCCAGCCCAATTCAATTTTTTGCTACAATTGATATTTTTGTAAGAGTTGTTCTTCCTTACTTTCTTCTTTTTGTTCTTTCTCTCTCTCCTCCTTACATTTTACTTTATTTCATGCTAGGATATGCTATTCAATTTCTTTGAGAAAAAATTTGCTGAGCAAAAATCCTACAGTCGACACAGAGGCTGAAGTCTTGAAATGCACAATAGATTTTAAAATAGAAGCTATAAGAACTAAACGAAGCCCTTTTGTAGCCTGTAGGATTTGATCTATATCAGGGAAACCGCCAAATCGTTTTGAAAGAGTACCATGATAATTTTGCCGAGTTCTATAAAAAATTTATTACCAGAAATGACCATCACCTTTAAATTGTGATCTTGCCATCTCAGTGTCAAGAAGAAGGAAACTCAAATCAACAAGTTTTTGATATTTTTCTTCTAATGCAACAATTTACATTCTACGATCAGTGCAACAAATTTAACTTTCTAAAAAGACAAACAGGTGCAACGGCTTCTGATATTTTACTTAAGACATAACAAAACAATAGGCTACAATTATGTCTCATAACATTCTAAACTTAGATTTCACTTCCCCTAGTCGGATATAGCTACTAAGGGATGACGTCACAGCTTAAATAGAGAGAATAAAAATTGCTAAAAGTAAAAGCCACTGATTATCAAGATATTTTTAGATCAATCCAAGCAGACACATTGGACTTCTCACGTTTTGAATTATTGTTGCTGTGAAAGTTGTTTAGCATTTGTCACCAAGTGCCTTTGGAAGATTGAATGAAGAAGAGTGTATGCAAGTTTGCTTTTAACTTCCTTCAGGGAAATGTATGCGAACCATTTAGAATTGCTCTGAAAGGTCAAAACATGAAAATTGTGCAAGAAAGTCAACAATACTGTTGAACTACCATTCATGAAAACAAAATTTGGGCAAAAGAGATAATGAATTGCCACTGGATGCAAATAAGATTGAGTCCACGGTCATATTCACATCATTTTTTAAAGAACACTACACTTGAAGAAACTATTGACACTTTTCTATTTAAGAAAAAGATTAATCTGTTATGTAGCTATAAGTTTTTTCCATTTTCTTTATTTCTAACAGGACCCTTAAGATAACAGCATTGTATCATGCTCATAGGTTATCCTGTCCAAATATTTGTATTATTTTTTCTTAAAATATCAGGTGAATGTTATTATCTCACATTTTTCTAACCGTATGCAAGTTTGTGATTCTTGTCAACATTATCCGTTATCATCAAGGTGGGGGATCGCCATTTTTTTCAAAGTCGGGAAATCATATTTACATACGGGACTTTTGATAAATCACTTGAGCTTAGTTATGGCGGCTTAAAAAAGTTGTTTATTTTCTTTGAGTTTTCTCTACGTTTTCAGAAATGTTCTTAGCTATATTAGACCACACATCAAAGATAGCAACTTACATGTCTTTATGATCTCTTATGCTTGCAGATGGCCGCTCAAATCACCCATGTCCCTATCAAAGTACGCCATTAACGAAATATGCTGTAATTTTAATGCCAACTAACTACATGATAATCGCTCGAAAACACCGTCCTAAATAATTATTTAGGTAAAAACAATAAGCGTGCATTAAAAGTAGATCAATCGTTTGCATCAAATCATCATAAAGACAGGGCCTAACTATCCAATCAAAAGCCGTTACGAGCTTCTCATTTCATTTGTTTCTTTTAAGCTTTTCTTTCACTTCCTTTCTTCCTTCCTCACAGGGAGTATATGTGCACTTGTACTGTGCTCTGAATTTGCTAGATGTTAGTAAAAGCATGATGACATCACTTCGTTACCTCTGCTGCTTAGTTCGGGATCTACTTATCTTATGAGTATATATCCGAAAACCTTCTGTGCACTCATTGTCGCTCCAGTATAAACGCCAGTGGGTTGTAAATGAGAACCGCCAATACCTATGCCAATGGCTGAATCAGGGGTGATGCAGTCGTTGTCGTTGTTGCCAAGGATTCCAATCCTCACTCGAGCGTCTACACTACCGGTAATGACATTATTGAACCCTTGTCTATTGCAATAGGGCTGGAGCTGGCTTTCTTTCAACAAATTGCGCCAATTGCTTTCCTGAACAGTTGCTTTTAAAGAAGACAATTGAATGGTTAGTCAAGGATCACACTTCGGTCACCAGTGCAATAAGCGCTACTGTTGAGCACAAATATATCTATTGGTCCCATTTGTTAACCCAAAACATGATTCAAAGTCATTAAGAGGTAATCAGAAGATGCTGAAACACTGTGCAGTGATTTAAAGTATTGTTTTTTGTAGAACTATTGAAAATAAACGTTGATAATAAAAGTTAAAAATATTGCGAAAATGATTGCGTATTCATGCAAGTTTATTTATTCTTTATAATATGTATTCAAAGTCACTTTTTTTCCTCAGAGACCGTCAAAGTAAGCCTTTAATGCTTCAAAAACTTTAAATATTCACACTGCATTATGCTGTAATTTTAGTAGTTACTTTACTGGCTTTTTAAGTTACTTTAGCTACTCTTCTGGCTAGAAACATTCATTTACTTCATTCAAAGGCAATGATATATTCATCCAGAATAGAACCAAACGTAGCCGTCACACAAAAGGAGACTCCTTAAACTGTCATTGATTGATAGAGTGTTTCATTACGACATTTGGTGATATCTTTATGCTGCTGTAACTCACCATGAAATGAGCCTTGAAAGTATGTCAAAAGTGATGTTGAGTGATGATATAGAGTAATATAGCTTTTCTCACTTCCCGACCTCATCCCAACACAAACTCGAGTAAATGGCAATGCACTGAATGCTGGAAACTTCGCTTCCTGGTCGCCAAGAAAACCCTCTGTCAAAGCATAAACGTGGTTGTAGACACTGCTTGATGTCCAGTGACTTGACTCGTATCGAAATGTGTTCTACCGTGAGAGTATAGAGAAGTCATATTTACAAGAGCATTAGAAAATATCCTAGAGATAGTAAAGATTGTCATGTTTTGCTTCACTTTTAAAGGCAGCCTGTCATCTGCTGTACTCAATTTAATTTTCACTGGCGTAGAAATCATTCTTGGTTGACTGTTATGAGCTATTAGCGTTGTTAACCAACCAGAAAAAAACTCTGGATGCAATCAGCCTCTGGATGCCACTGTTGATATCAGCCAATCACAGAGCTGACAGACTGCCTTCAATCTAGTCCCTAGGGTAATTGTTTAGAGGCCTTATGAGACAGGGAAATTTTTAAATTTCGAGGGAGCATGGGGACTTGTTTTGAGGAAGAAAGGGGCCTACTTAAGGAGAGAATTGGGCTAATTTGAAGAATGATGAGGCGCACTTGAGAAGGGAAATTGGTTAATTTGAGGAAGGATACCTGCGGATTGGTAGGGGGAGGGGGGGGGGGGGTAGGATTCGAGGACTTATCTGTAATATGGAGAACTAGAACAATCTTATAAGATATAGATTTCTTACGCCCTCTCTCAGCTTCTCGACCTGATACAAAATTGTTGTTACCTTTTTTAATGAATGTGTCCATAGAAGCATTTCAAAAATATTTACCAACATAATTGTCTAAAAAATGCTTTTAATCTTTGCATTAACTTATTTTCTGTTTGGTTCTTGATCTGATAATAAGCGATTTTTGTAGAAGAGATGTTCTTACCAGTCTTCCATCCGTCTTTAACACTAGTGTCCAACCTCCAACGCCGTCACAAGTCGTTGTCCCATTCAGAACACAATAATGGTGTCCAATGTTTGAAAGCAAGTAAACACCATCCTTGCGATAACCCGCTTCGTAGGCTGCTTGGCAACTGGCAAAACCTTGAAATTCAGAAAGAGGAAACTTGCTTTAGACATCTATTTTGGCTTCCTATCAAAGCTATTTGTTTTCAATTATACATGTGCCTGAAAATATAGATGGTTGGTTTTTAGATGGGTAGAGCTTCTGAATGAAAATGGCTTTGTTACCACACACCGATGATGATATTCAAGTCTGCTGGTTTCAATTTAATGAAAGATAACAGTACATCTGTGAACCAATGTTTTTTTAAATAATTGGTTCTTTAACGCAGCTAGTTTTTGAGGCAATTAAAGTTTAATTGCATGTAAAATAGCTGGTGTAAAATTAGTGAATAGAAGATCAAATTCTTAATACACTAATACGTAAATACACACATATTTTCAAATTACTGGTAATGGAAAGTAGAGCTTCTACGGGGCTTCTACGTTGCTGCATTTTACAGGTACGAGAATGTCCCTTACTTCTTTCATTTTCGCAATATTTGCCTGTAAACATTTCTTTGCATTGGCACTTGAACCCATCTTCAGTGCATGTATCCACACATTTACCACCATTTTGGCAAGGAGACAATAATGCACACCGTGGGCCAACCTAGTGACAAGACATTGCAAGTGAAACATTTTATATGAGAACAATCTTTATCGTCATGGACACAGCTTTATAGGGGCGTTAGAAAGAGAGAATTTTGATAAGTAGATTGTCTTTCCTGTGAGTATAGACCACGTTTGCTGTACATTCTAATCAATATAATGTCGAAAGAAACCAAAAAAAAAATGAAAGGTCGAAATATCTTACTATTTATTTTTAAACATTGCTAATGTATTAATCATTAAGACCGCTGTTTCTTAAACTATCTTTTCATTTTTTCTTACTTATCTTTTAAAGCCAACTTAAATGGGTTCACATATGATCGCGGACTTACTCAAAGTTATTTCTAACATACCCTAGGCCTAAGAAATTCATCTCTCCACCCAATTTTATAGGCTTTGGTACCCAGATTATTTTCAAGAATACTTACATTAGAAGCTTCTTCGTCTGTTGTCATGTACACCCAGCCAAGTCTTTTGCTGATAGCTGTCATACTTGATGTCAAACTCCGATCAAGCAACTCACATTGTCCATCGTCCTCTTTAAAGTTCAGTGATTGACATTCAAGGCTTGACATACACTCAAGTGTGCATTGCCGCTTTGTTTTACCTACAAAGGATTTTAACACATTGCCTGTCACTGCCATGTCTTGTAAAACGATGTTAAAGTCTCCATAATACTGGCAGCTCTCTCGCAATATTGTCGCAAGATTACAACCAACGGAAATTGACAAAATGACCGCCTTGATTGACATGATATATGCCTTTGCTACTGAACTATGCTTCTTCATTTCAGCAGCGTCTTACTTCAATCAAAATTGAAATAGGTTTGTTAAATTTGTTGGTGACTTGTAATTTAACCAAACATTCTCACCAGAATGAATGGTTTACCAAATCTGCAGGTGGTCTTTATTCCATGGTTAATCCAGATTCACTTTCTGACGAAACGATTGATTACGATATTTATGTATCAGTAGGTTTCCAAATGACAAATTTTTCCAATCAATTCTTTTCGATTAATTACTTTCTCTTTATTTTGAAACATTTTGTCAGACGATGCGCTGAATATTATGTCTAAATAGGTCTTGATCAGAGGTAGTTTTAACTTCTTTGATTTTCAATTGTCATGTATGGAGTTCCTCAATCCTCGCTCTTTAGCCCACTTCTTTTTATGTAGCTACACAGCGTTTCTAGGCTCCTGGAATTTACCTTGCATAAAACTTCCTATATGGTACCCTTTTAAAACTTATATTTTCTCAAAAAAGTCTTTTTGTTAATTACTGGAAACTCTAGACAGCAGACAAAGAGTTAAATTCTAAATTCAAGTACCATTGCGTTATCCATTGAAATATTTTGAAATCAAATTGAAACCATGTATGCTAGTTAGTGCGTAACATTTGACAAGTGTCTCTTGCTTGAGCATTGTTCTGTGATACTAGTTTAAACTGAACACGTAAATACCCCAAGTCATTGATAGTGACATCCATTACGGCCCGTGTTCATTCAATTAAAGTGCCAGCATTTGTTAAATCGAAAACTTTAACAAACTTAAATCCCGTTATTATGAAGAAGTACTTTATCCTTCGAACATGAAGCATTACCAGAAAATGAACTATAGTATCAAGAGAGTGAGCTCACTAGGTCCAATAATCTAGATTGCCCTACCTGTGAAATTTATGGTCAATTCAATCGCTTACCATGTGTACGCGTTGCTTATGTTTAAAGAAGAGATATCAGTTGATTACGTCATTTACCGACCTTGATTCGAAACCATTGTTGTTGTTAGGCTAGGCCTAAGTTTTTAATCGCCTTATTTTTACGAAATGCTGTATTAAATGACCTGGAAATGTAATAGAGTATCGCGGAATATCATGATTATTGGTGCCATTCTCCATCTTAATCGAATGTTTAAAATACACACACACCAAATATCTAACATCTAATGTCTAACACAAACAAAGTAATCATTCATATGTACATCAATTTAAAATTTCGTGATTTCTTGACTGTAAATATCCTCGTTCAGCTTTAATTCCAAGTGATTCCACAATGAAATATCTATCGTTACTTTAACTTCGTTTGCGGAAAATGCAAAGCTACCATCACAAGGGTTTTTATTATCCTTATCAACATAATATTGATATGATAAATTATGCTAAATATTAAAATTCGGAGATACAACGGCATTGTTGAAAGAAGGAGATCCAAATTCGGCAGGAATGAATCCAATGACCTAATTGATATTGTTTTAGATTTTTCTTTTTGTACATATTTTTGTCCTTTAAATTTTTTAAGCCGTCACCAAAGGTTGTACATGTAACTCCCGTTTCACATTAAAATATTGTTTTTGTTGCAAATTTCAGATAAAAACTATCTATCAGAAAAACTATGAGGTAGATTCAGCTTTTGGCAGGTTCAAAGAATATTCACAAGAAAAGTTTATCTGCTAAATGGTTTTAAACTTTTGCAATCGTGAAGCCTTCATAGCTTAGAATCACAAAATAATCATTTCTTCCTTCTACCCGGCTTAAAATAAAGTTTGTTAAAGGGCCTCTGCAGCCAAATTTTGCACTTGCATTTTATTAGCTAATCTAAAGGAGTTGAACCTGCTGATCACGAATTCGTTATTTGGTTTTTGATATTTTTTACAGTTTGTGAGATATAAGCTCTTGCATTTCGTTAATTGAATTGAATTACCCGACAAAATTTTCGGTTTGGTAACACTGTGACGCAATTTTGACGTCACAGTGTATTTCGCTATTCTCGCCTCAAACCGAATCGAACAACGGCGATTCGCAAATTGAACACTGCAAGTGATGGTACTCTCAGTTCTGTTCCACCGGCTTTTAGTTTGAGCATTTCAGACATCAGTTCTGAAGCCATTAGTTGTTCATCGTTTCTGGAGAACAACTGAGGGGTCAATTTCGATTAATTATACGCGAGGGAAGAGCTGGAACAGGAAGCCATAGCTTTGTGGGCCTACACGGGTGATCAAAACAAAGTCGTGACACAGCATAGACACATTCCGACCCGCAAACTTAGAATGATCGTAAACATTTAATATTTTTCGATCCTAAAAAACTCCTGCTCTAGATTTAGATGCAGTTATCAACGCATGACCATGACTCCTTCGCGATTCGGTGGAAGATATACGAAATTCATTACGGACGAGAGCCGCACACTGTGACGTCAGAATGTCACAAAACTGATTCGGCTTTTGTCGTTTTTTTCTCGGAAAGGTGCAACTTTAAAGCCTTATAACTTCTAAACTAATTGGAATTTTGCAAAAACAATGACTTTGCCATAATACACGCACCAGATGCTAGCTTTTTAGTCAATAAAAAAAATTTTTTTCTTTGGCTGGAGAGGCCCTTTAAATTCTTGATTTTTTGACGATGCATGTTTCCTAACCATAGATTTCCTTACACATACAACTTCTAGGAGTTTACTCTGTTACTAAAGTGTTGTGTCCTGGGTTCATAATTATACACTAACTAAAGAAGTTTCTAGAGGTTTACGTAATCGACAGCTTAAATTATGTTTGGGTATTTTCCAGAAATAGCGAGAAAGTTATTACCTCACAAGCTAATTTTATCAAAGACAAAAAAAATATTACGTAATGTAAATAAACAATGGCAAACACGTGATAAGTTTCTAGAAAGTTCTGTCTTGCTCGAGAAAAGTGAAGAAAGTTCACGACATCAGTAATAAAAGCAGTGCCTAATTCTTCATTTAAAAGCAGTTACAAGTTCCTCAGCTTAGTTATTTATTCTTCTTTGTCTTCTACTTTTTCTTACCTTTCTACATTGGACGGGCTTACAGAATTTTTTAATCAAACAATAACTGTGTACCAGAAACAAGACAGTAAAATTGACTGCACTGGGCTATAAACTGTGCCATTTTAAGTCATGGTTTGCCTCTAAAGAACATTCTTGTTGCCTTGCGAGAGGTCATTGTGCGCTTGTACTGTGCTCTGAATGTGCTAGATATCAGTCGAAGCATGATGACATCACTTCGTTACCGTTGCTGCTTAGTTCGCGATCTACTTAAAGTATGAGTATATATCCGAAAACCTTCTGTGCACTCATTGTCGCTCCAGTATAAACGCCAGTGGGTTGTAAATGAGAACCGCCAATACCTATGCCAATGGCTGAATCAGGGGTGATGCAGTCGTTCTCGTTGTTGCCAAAAATTCCAATCCTCACTCCAACGTCTACACGACCGGTAATGATGTTATTGAACCCTTGTCTTTTACAATAGGGCTGGAGCTGGCTTCCTTTCAACAAATTGCGCCAATTACTTTCCTGATCAGTTGCTTTTAAAGAAGACAATTGAATGGTTAGTCAAGGATCACACTTCGGTCACCAGTGCAATAAGCGCTACTGTTGAGCACAAATATATCTATTGGTCCCATTTGTTAACCCAAAACAGAATTCAAAGTAATTAAGAGGTAATCAGAAGATGCTGAAACACTTTGCAGTGAATTAAGGTATTGTTTTTTTGTAGAATTATTGAAAATAAGCGTTGATAATCAAGTTAAACAAGTTAAAAAATGTTGCAAAAATGATTACGTATTCATGCAATTCTATTTATTCTTTATAATATGTATTCAAAGTCACTTTGCTTCTCAGAGACCATCAAAGTAGGTCTTTGATGCTTTAAGAACTTTAAATAATCAGACTGCATTATGCTGTAATTTTAGTAGTTATTTTTCTGGGTTTTTAAGTTATATTAGTTACTCTTCTGGCTAGAAACATTCATTTACTTCATTCAAAGGCAATGATATATTCATCCAGAATAGAGCCAAACGTAGCCGTCACACAAAAGGAGACTCTTTAAACTGTCATTGATTAGTAGATTGGTTCATTAAGATGACAATCATTATGATATTTGGTGACATCTTTATGCTGCTGTAACTTACCATGAAATGAGCCTTGAAAGTATGTCAAAAGTGAACTTGATGTATGACCTAGCGTAATATAGCTTTTCTCACTTCCCAACCTCATCCCAACACAAACTCGAGTAAACGGCAATGCATTGAATGCTGGAAACTTCGCTTCCTGGTCGCCAAGAAAACCCTCTGCCAAGGCATAAACGTGGTTGTAGACACTGCTTGATGTCCAGTGACTTGACTCGTATCGAAACGTGTTCTACCGTGAGAGTATAGAAAGTCATATTTACAAGAGCATTAGAAAATATCCTAGAGATAGTAAAGATTGTCATGTGTTGCTTTACTTTTAAAGGCAGCCTGTCATCTGCTGTATTCAGTTCAATTTTCACTGGCTGTAACAAGCTGCTAGCGTTGTTGACCAATCAGAGGAAACTCTTGGCCAATTGCAGAGCAGACAGACAAGAGAAGGAGGAATTCTTTGAAAGCGATGACGTCAGACACAAACACTTTCCAGCAAAGATGCCGAGTGAAGCAATGGCTGTGCTGGTACCTTTGTTGTCCAGCCTGATAGGTTGCTTGCATATAAAAATGTCATTCCTTAAATTTCGAATGTATAACTTAACCAAATGAACTTTTAGTTAAGGCCCTACTTCGTCGACTGTCCAAGCAAACGACTCAGTAGTCATATCTTCTGGAGGCTTCTTTGCTGGATGTTGTTGGGAGTTTATCGGTGATGTTAAGAACTAGCGCCACCTTATAAGATATAGGTTACCTACGCCCTCCTCAAATTTAAACTCCTCCTCCTGACATTAATCTGTTGGTACCTTTTTAATGAATGTGTTTATAGAAGGATTTCGAAAATATTTACCCACACTTAATTGCCAAATTTTCCGTTTGGTTTCTTGATTTGATAATAAAAGATAATTGTGCAAGAGTTGTTCTTACCAGTCTTCCATCCGTTTTTAACACTAGTGTCCAACCTCCAACGCTGCTACAAGTCGTTGTCCCATTCAGAACACAATAATGGTGTCCAATGTTTGAAAGCAAGTAAACACCATCCTTGCGATAACCCGCTTCGTAGGCTGCTTGGCAACTGGCAAAATCTTGATACAAGCAGTAAGAGAAAATTTGCTTAAAATATCCTGTTTGATTTCATATCAAATATCTTTGTTTTTTAGAGAATAGATGGAACAGAAATCATTGATGATTGAAAGAATTCTTGCTACGATTTAGCGGTGATAATATTCTGCTGGTTGTTTACTTGGAAGGTGGTGTGAAGACTATATTGTAATTGGAAGGTGGTGTGAAGACTATATTTTTTAATCTTATTAGTTCGCTTAGCCTATAATCTAGTCAAAACCAATTTCATACACATTCTAATGTTGTCAAATCGGTGTATAAAATATCAATTTTTACATCGATATGAAAAGATTGCCTAAAAGTATTTTTTTTAAAATGCTTTTAGAGGAAAGTTTTCGTCTTTGTTTCCGCCCTTATGCCTTCAGTTGTACTCTTTATCTGCATACTTATATGACGTCCAATCAGATGGATATAACAGATCACAATACGTGGAGAAAATGCTTTTAGACATATAAGGATTAAACACAGATGTTTTGCAAATAAATGCAAGACGCCCACACACTCATCGGACGTTCTATATTGCCACGTATTGCAGGTACAAAAGTGTCCCTTACCTTTTTCTTTTTCGCAATATTTGCCTGTAAACATTTCTTTGCAGTGGCACTTGAATCCATCCCCGGTGCATGTATCCACACATTTACCACCATTTTGGCAAGGAGACAGTAATACACATCTTGTTCCAACCTAGCGACAACACATTGCTATTGAAACTCAATAGAAGCAATATTATCTTTCCTTTCACGAGTAAAGATATTGTCGCCGTATAGACCTACTAATTTTGTGGGCTTTGGTACCCAGATTATTTTTCAAGAATACTTACATTAGAAGCTTTTTCATCTGTTGTCATGTACACCCACCCAAGTCTTTTGCTGATAGCTGTCATACTTGATGTCAAACTCCGATCAAGCAACTCACATTGTCCATCGTCCTCTTTAAAGTTCAGTGATTTACATTCAAGGCTTGACATACACTCAAGTGTGCATTGCCGCTTTGTTTTACCTACAAAGGATTTTAATACATTGCCTGTCACTGCCATGTCTTGTAAAACGATGTTAAAGTCTCCGTAATACTGGCAGCTCTCTCGCAATATTGTCGCAAGATTACAACCAACGGAAATTGACAAAATTACAGTCTTGATTGACATGATATATGCCTTTGCTACTGAACTATGCTTCTTCATTTCAGCAGCGTCTTACTTCAATATAAATTGAATTAGGTTTGTTAAGTTTGCTGATGATTGGGAATTTAACCGAACATTCTCACCAAAAAAAAAGTTTACCAAATCTGCAGGTGGTTTTTGTTTCATGGTTATTCTAGATCCTCTTTGTAATATTACGACAGATTATGATTACAAGAAGCTAACAATCTAACGTTCAATAAATTTTCAAACAATTTCACTTAAACAGAACTAATTAGGCCTTGGTCAATCGCTGTTTCAACTTTTCTGATTACGCCATTGTCATGCCTGGAATTCCACGATGCTCGATCCGTAGCCCATTGCTTTTTATGAAATAAAACAGCACTTGTAGCTTTGATTATAATCCATCTAATAATCGCGAACTCTTTTGTGTTTCATATTCATTCAATTAAATTACCAGCTCTTGGTATTTCGAAAACTTTAACCAACTTAAATCCAGTGATTATGAAGTCATGACCCTGAAGTCAGGACTGTCTGAAAGAGGGGGGGAGGGGTATGGTGGCCCAGCATTCTCATTCGAAAAACAGAAACATATTTAATGAAATATAAAAAGATCACAGATATTTGTGGTAAATTTGACATTAAATTCAAATTATTTTCTTGAAGTTTAAAATAGCATGTCAAAAAGCAGAATAAACATAATAAAAAAATTAAAGAAACATTTCCATTTCCAAGTTTCAAATAGAATTGTTTCTTTTTGTTTCTGAAAATCACATTGAAAGTTGTCAAAAGAAACATTTTCGTTTTCATTTTCAAAATGAAATGTCACGATCGGCCCAGCGTTCTCATAGACCACAATGCTTTGCAAGAATAAGCGCCTCATTTCCATGCAGCTTTTCGCGCCCTTTTTGCTTCGCCTTGCCACTTAACAGCGAAGAACGCATACCTCGTGGTAGCCTATTTAATTTGAATTAATCATGAAGAGGCATGATACTTGGGAAAAACTTTATAAGGTAATGAGTAACAAAAGAACAAAACAAAACGAGGCATCAAATAAAAATAAAAAACTCGGATCTGCCCCACACAAGATTGTCGTCCTTCAGAACCCGACAGCAAGCAAACCTATCGTCCGATTCAGCCACGCAAATTTGTATTATTTGAGTTTGACGAAATAGCTCTATCTAACTTGAAGAGTGCTTGTGCTGCTCATTTTGGCCTCCCTGTCAGTACGTGTGACGTGCTTGTCTCAAACAAAGGTCCCTTGTGCACAAATATTCAACAGATACCACATCGGAAAGATAAATATTTTTTTCTTCTTTTTTTAATAAATCTAATATCAATTAGTTTGAGGTTTGCGGTTCAAGCTTGTTCACTTTACTTGGATTTGGTTCACTTTCGGGGCTTTATAAAT